GTGTTTCTTTTTAAATAATTTTTTTTATTTTTTTTTATGGTTTTACGGGTTTTTGTTTTTTTTTATTTTTTTTAATTTTTTTTTTTTTTTTTTTTTCCCCCCCCCCCCCCCCCCCCCCCTACTCTCTCCTTCTCTCTCTTTTATTTAACCGTGTTTTGCAAGTCATCAAAGACCTACCTTGGGTACCTGCAAGGGGGCTGGTCGACACAGGTATTTTACTAATTACGGATAAAATCGCAGCGCGTGACTGGAACCGTAGATCTTGGGGAACCATGCAGGTTATGCAGATAACCGGTCCTGTACCGACCAGGTAGGTAGAACTAACGTCGTCTCATATATACACCTCTCCTCATGTAGGCCGGCTCGTGGTGGCTACCTCATTGGTCCAATTCCGTCGTATGGAACGTATCTAGATCAACCCGCGTGCAGCCCTGATTCGGTGTTCCGCTGCTTACATTCATTCAATTCACATTTGGAAAGTAATTTTCGTAAAAAGTTCTGCTATAGACTATTTGAGGCGGGACGCCTGATAATGTCATCGTCGGGAGAGACTTAACTCAACGCCCGGGTGGATGGAAGCGCGCGTCTTTGAGAGCTAGCTACCACCTAGCTGTGTAAGCCATCTTGCTCGGAAGGTGACGGATGATCTCGGCGGCCTGCGAGAAACAATAAAAAAAACATAAAAAATAAAAAATAAAAATAAAAGATCTCAACAATGGCACTCCTGAAGTTCCTCTTCCTAGGCCTGCTGCCGTTCCTGTGCCTACCCGCCCCCTCCCTCTCAAGGCCGTCGCGATTCGATAACCTGGGATCGAGGGGCAAGCCGACGGGCGCGCACCGCGCGTCCGAGAGCGGAAGGCACATCAGAGCGACGCTGCAGTCTCGCAAGGTGAACAACGTCACCGGCGGCGCGGTGTCCCTGTACTACAACAAGACGCGCGAGAAGGCCTCGCCCCGGTCGCCGCGGGAGCCGTTGGCCAGTTACGGCGCTGGGATCGTGTATATGCTAGAACGTATGTACGCTGCCCAACTTCTCTCTCTTCTCCTCTCTCTCTTTCTCTCTCCCCCCTTCTCTTTTCTTTCTTTCTTTTTTTTTTTCCTTTGCAAGATTTGTGAGAAGATGGTATCTACAGTAGGTGCCTAAGGTAGGCAGGCAGATGGTAGCTAATGTCCTTAGGCAGTCGCTCTCGGAACACCCGGCCAGATAGTCTCGGCTATCCTCGACACCGGGTCGTACGCGCTGCTCGTGGATCCGAACTGCGACCAGGCGGCGGACCCAAAAGCTTGTCGGACGTACGGGTACTATGACACCAAACAGTCGTCTACGGCCAGAAATCTCAACGGTTGGTTTTCGGGCCAGTTCGGCACTGGGTATATGGAAGGGGTGTGGTTTAGCGACACAGCGTATGTTGGGCTAGATAGTACGTATATGCCCCTTTTCTTTTTCTTTTTAAATATTCTGGTTAGGAGATGTAAGCTCGTATCCTAACCCACGTGACATTGGTGACAGACTTACCGCTTCCTAATCTAAGAGTTGGGGTGAGCAAGTGGAGCGAGTATATCTGGGCCGGGGTGTTGGGTGTTTCGTATGGCAAGGCCTGGAATACTGGATACCAAACCCTCCTGGATCTCCTTGTCACGCAGAGCTATATCGAGGTGCCGATTTTCGGCTTAGGTGTTGGATACCAAGGTGGTGGGAGTCCAAGTAGGTCGTCATATATCACAACCCCTTATTGTTGTTTTCAGAAGACTGATCTCATCTACCTATCTAAGGCGACATAATCTTCGGGGGGGTGGACAGAAAGAAATTTCGGGGATACCTGGAGCCATTGGAAGTCTACCCGTACCCGGATCAGCAGCTGAAGCTATTTGGCCAAGTAGGGTAAGGCGCTCTCATATTCCTACAGACAGGTACAACGTATCGGCATACACTATGCTAAAACTTACAAGCTATCGGGTGAACCTAACATCCTTAGGAGTGACCCCTCCCGGACGGAACGAAACAATATTAACAGACACCGATTTCGAGCACAACGTGCTGATCGACTCCGGGTCGACATATACGTATCTCGGCGCAAACATAGTCGCTACGATCGCAAGCGCCCTGAATGCGTATATAGACGAGAACGGGGTCTATCGCGTATCATGCGACACCCGCAATCTGGACGGCTCCGTGAACTTCGGGTTCAACTTCTATAATATCATCGTCAGGGTCAACTATGCCGACTTTATCGTCGACTTCGAGAGTTACTGCGCCCTCGGGGTCCAGCCTACGGATAGCAAGAACCCGACGTGGGTGCTGGGGACGAGTTTTATTCGAGCTGCATATCGTGAGTATACACCTAACTTAACATGACCTGACCTAGCCTTTATTAGGAAAATCCTGGTAGCTTTATGGTGAAGAAGATCAAAAAAGTACGACTGCTAACTAAGGCGAAAATTTGAATAGTTGTATTCGATCAGCTGAACGATGCCGTCTGGATTGCGCAATACTTCCCGTGCGGCGAGAGCGAGATCGCAGATCTAACCAAGGACGCTGGTAGACAGCTGTGGTTAGAGGTCACGGGCTTGTGTTAACGAGGCAGGATAACAAAGTGAAGAGGGGTATGGAAAATGAAGGCTTATTGTAAGAGTTCAGGCCTGCTACCTTACTTGTTTATACCATTGCGGGTAGAGTAAAGAAACTCAACTCAGCGGCGCAAGGGAGAGGTGATGAGCACAGAATTTCATGCTGCTTCATTATACCTGCAGATATGCTATATGCTAGTAGATACTCTATGTAACCTAGCCAACACTTCGCACGTGCAAGTCGTGCTTGGAAATTGAATAACAGGTAACATTCGCTATAATATCTGTCAAATATCCGGTCCTCGAATATCCTCGCTCAGCGGACCTTGCCTCGTCCAAATATTCATCTGCGAAGATGTGTCAGTACCTATTTGCACATAAAAATACCTCATGTGTTATTATACTACGCAGGACACAGGCATTGACTGTACTTACCCCTATCTTCGACCCGCTCGTAACCGGCAGCCCAGCATGCAGCGTAGCCTGGTCCCCGGACCCATCCTCGTGCAAGTTCTGCCAGAACACCGCGTTCCCCACGACGGGCCGGAACGTGACCCCGCTCTCCCAGGGCTCGTCGCAATCGACGAACGCGCACCACCGCTCGTCGTGCGGCGCGCGCACCATGGGGAAGTTCGTCCCGCCGCCCGTCAGGTCGTCCGTCGTCGCGACGTACGCGAAGAAGGAGCTCAGGCGGTTGCCGCCGAGCGCGGCGCTCGCGTGCGCGGCGCCGTTCGTGTACCAGTCCGTGTGGAAGTGGTACCGCTCGCCCGGCCCGTACTTCACGAGCTGCAGCGGCTCGAGGTGCGCGCGCGGCACGTCGAAGCCTTGGAATAGCAGGGCGCGCTCCTCGATACACCGCACCACCGCGTCCCGCGGCACGTTGGTCGATTGCGAGGTCCGCGTCTGCCGCAGGCCTTGGGCGCCGGAGGAGTCGGCGACTGCGGAGTGCGAGAATGTGTCTTTGCTGGTGGGGGTTGTTAGCTCCGACGAGCACACACACATATATATATATAAGGTATATATATAATATTCGTATGGATGCAATAGGAGGTAGGTAAGTACTCACGTTATCTCCTGTAGATGAGCCCGTTCTTCAGCTGTGATGAAGTTTGCCAGATATATCACCAATGGCGACTTAGATACTATGTGGCTCTGGTACGCGGGATGTTGGCAGGTATAATCGCTCGATGAAGCCACTATTGGTTTTTGCGCATTGCTATTATGGCTGTGGCTATGTGCTTGAGCCAACGTCGTGGTGAGCGATAACAGCAATAAGGACTTTAGTGAATTCATGGTGGATCTGGCGACCGATTTTGAGTATGATTGATAAGTTGGAGCAAAAAAAAAAAAAAACAGAGCAAAGTTCACTTTTGCTTCTTGTCAGAATAATCAAATCCTCATACTCTCTCGAACAATTGGGCACATTTACAGACACTACATCATCGTAAGGAGAACATGCAGAGCCGAAACGTCAACTGTCTGCGTAGAAAGGAGCTTCCCCCTGTTTAGCGTTACAGCAGCTCCTCGTCAAGCCCGCTGAGTGGAGAGCTCTAGTGGAGGATCCAGGGGTTCGTGGGGTTCGGGCATCGTCAGATCTAAACCCCTGATCTACAGGGTACCATCTTAAACAGCTAAGCTACATAGTATCTAGGTATCGTACATAATTGATAGTATTTGACCTTTGTGAGTTGCTACTTAGTTTAAAATAACTACCTAGGTTACATACCTGTTAACAGCAACATTGGTGATACTTAACTTAAGCCTTAGATATATTCACGATGAGGATCGGAAGTATAGAACTGTTATGTCTCTTGGCGGGCGCTGGACTAAGTGCAGCTTGGAATCATGCTAGCGAGGATGAGTTTCGTCGAGCTATAGCTGGTCACAACCACGCTCTAGTTGCTTGTGAGTTACTGTAGCTATCTCGAAAAGCTACCTAACCTACTAAGATCTATACTCTAACGTCAATACAGTCATAGAACCATCAACGTAAGTTGATTACCACCTAACCTACGATATGATAGTCATATCTATCTCGTACCTATTTCAAAAACTAATAGGAATGAATCATTCAGCGCCGCCAGCCAAGCTCTAGAGCCAGAGTGGATATCCGCAACGGAGTCGGAGAAGAAGAAATCTCTACTAAGCGTCGATTGCGCTTCGGCCTCAAGCCTGTGCAAGGAGTTCGACGTCATCTCATACCCAGCCTTGCGATTCTTCGACGGCCACGGGAAAATGACTTCGTACCGAGGCCCTAGGCGGGCGTCCTCGTAAGTGCTCGTGCTCGTGCTCGTAACCATTCAGCAGAATCCAACTGGGGGACTAAGACTCCGGCAACAGGATCCTCGCCTACCTCAAAAGAGCCGTGCGGCCCACCATCACACCCCTCCCCTCGGACAAGAAAGCCGCCGCCTTCCAGTCGAGCGACGACCACGCGGTGATCGCGCGGATTAGCCCGCGAGACTCGCACGTCCGGGTGCTGTACGAGACGCTCGCCTCGCAGTACCGGGACCGGCTGTCGTTCGGGCTAGCGAAGACGAAGACGGGCGAAGAGGCGACGACCGTGGCGTGTTATAATAACCGCGACGGCCAGCAGTTCACCGTTTCGGATTTGACGCCGATAAACGCGTTATCCGAGCTCGTGGAGAGATGCCTTACGCCTGTGATTGGGGAGTTTACGAGGGCGAATGAGATGAAGTACTTGCAGGTGAGTTTTATTTGTTGTAATTCTTTTTTTAAAAAAACTATATCAGGTACAACATGCGTTATGCATAGGTACCTCCTAGATTCAAAAGGAAAAGGAAAAAAAAAAGAGAGAGCAAGCAACTAATAATCCAAATCTCACATCGCGACAGGCCGACAAGTCCATCGTCTTCTTCTTCTCACCCTCGCCCGCCGAGCGCGACGCCTACGCGCGCGCCATGCTGTCCGTCGCCAAGATGTACAAGGAGTACCTGAGCTTCGTGACGGTCGACGCGGGCGAGTACGGGGACCTGGCGGCGCCGCTGGGCCTGGCACCCGGCGTGTACCCGGCCGTGTCGGTGCAGAACCCGATGTTCGGGAAGGTGTTTCCGTACCCGCAGGGACGGGGGGATAATGATGATGATGATAATATCACGCCGGAGAGTATAGGCGCGTTTCTGATGGATATTGGTCAGGGGAAGGTCGAGGCTTGGGATGGGACGACGGTGAGTGCGGGGGAGGAGGGGGGACAGGGACGCGCGCATGATGAGCTGTGAAGTGAAGTTGGATAGATGGGCTAAGATGATGGGGTGGTCGGAAATTACTTAGAAGTAGCAGTGTGGTGTACTATCTCTATCAACAGGAAGTAGGATTCAAGCAAATATTGTCCAAGTGCAAGATTTACGGGAATGCAATATATTCACAACAGCAACACGAGATATGTTTAGGTAGGTTAGAAGATTCGAAGTCCCAATACTTAACAAGCATCTTCCGCAGCCCCCCTCTCTTGGAGCAAGCTAAGCTCTACGGTAAGCTCAAGAAAAGCTCCAAAAGCTTGGGGTAATTCGGTGTACTAGAGTCAACAACCAGTTAGTAAGTGATCCATTCTCAAGAGGTATTGTACCTAATCATCATATACGGGAACACGTACCCCATTCCAGACACAGGATCCCAGCCCTCGGTAGCCGGGAAACCCGTGGTCTTACACGCCCTGTTATCGCCCTTCGTGATGTCGTTGAAGACTTCAGGATGGGAATACTATGCCAAGCGGTTAGTTAGGAGCTGTCTCCTTTCAAGATTGTTTTCAAGCGGATATTCATTATGAACACCTACCAAGACCTGGTGAACGAACCCGACCGGGCTCTTCCCAGCAGCCAACCGCTCCTCGTTGATCAGAGTAATCACCGACCCCCAAAGCGGCGCCGAAGCCGACGTGCCGCCGATGCTCAGCAGCTCGCCGCCGCTCGAAATCACGAAGTGGTCCCCGTTAGCCGAGACGTCCGGATACGCTCTTCCCAACTTGTTGAAGTGTCCTTTTCCAGCGTGAACGTTGCTATAGTTAGCGCCGCCGCCTTCGTACCCCTCAAACGGAAGCTTGGCCTTCTCGAGGTACTTGCTCACGATGTCCTTTTGGTAATCCGGCGCGTCGTAGATATTGGAGAATCCCCCGCCAGACCGGAACCTGTCCGTCGCCTCCTCGGGGTCGACGCCGGGGGTCCTATTGCTTTGCAGCACGGTCGATCCCACCGTGAGGATATACGGACAGCTCGCGAGGAACTGCGGGTTGAAGACGTCGCGCGCGGGGCCCAAGCAGCCGGTAGGCGCTGCGGGGGAGGAGAAGCCGCCGACGCCGTCGTCGCCCGACGAGATGACGACCGTCGAGCCTTGCAAGCCGAGCTTCATGATCTCGGCGCACTGGCGCTGCTGGTACGACGCCGGGAGATCGATCTCGGCTCCGCTGTACGAGATGCTGATGACGTTTGTCGGCTCGTACACGCCGCACATCAACGGCCCGCTATACCCGGCGCGGTCGTGCGGATTCGGGTACTCGGGGTCCCGACACTCGGGACGTTTGCAATTGCCTTTTTCGCCGTACGCCTCGAAGGTGCAGTAGCTGCCGTCGATTGCGTTCCAGAGGTCTAAGGCTGGATATTAGCAAGGGATGATGCTTCATTCGGATAAGAGGACGGCAGGTCGGCCATACTGTTGAAAAACCCCATGTATGACTCTGGGTCGAACTCGTAGTTAGTCTGGTACCACTCGTCATCGACCTGGTACAGCGCAGGCTCTTGCGGCCAGATCAGCCCATACGCCATCTGGAAGTCGAGGTTCGCTTCCGAACCTGCCAACCTGAGGTTCCTCGTCGGACCTTGCCCGCCGTCCACGGAAAAGAGTTCAGGATGTGTTCCGTTCGGGATGTCACTATGGGATATCAGCAACTGGGAGATTCCCTCGAGGAATCGAAGTTAGTCTTACTCCGTAAAGCTCCAGAAGAATGTATCGAGGTCGTGTTGTGTATAGTGTTGTCCGAGGGATTGGAAGATTCCCATTTTATTATCCGGGTGTTTCTTCGCCCCTTTCGGGATGCCATATAAAGCTAAGACTTCCAGTTAGCCTACGAGAGTGTTTCCTAGAGAGATATGTTCGTACCCCTGATACAATCCGGTGTGACATATCGGTCACAGCCACCAGGCAGCGTGAAATTTCCACTTGCTGCATCTGCGGGCTCCACGGGTGTCGCAAAGCGTAAAGGCCCCTCCACATTCGGACCCGTGGTCCGTTTAAGGGGGGAGAGATTATTCTTGCTTCTCTCACTCTTGAGCCCGGCAAGCTCACTCTCGTCAACCGGTTGACTTAAACGGTGGATAGGACCTACGCTAGTCTCCCTTCGTTTCTTTGATGGGGGCTGTTGCGTATTTCCGTAGCCAAGCAGCGCAATACCAGGCGTAATATAATCAACATGTTCTTTCACTCCTTTCGGGAGGTGATATCTTGAAAACGGTTAGCTAGCAGCTTGCATGTTACAATCTCGTTGCACTGACTCGTCACAGGCAATATTCCTAGCACCCGTATCGACGTGTTCCCACACGTGGTAGTCTGCCATCAAGAGGTCTTCTACCTTGCTAACGGGCGCATCAAATTGTATCCACTATCCGACTTGTTGTTAGACATCTACCAACGGTGTTTTTCTACTATAACAGGAGGTATATTGGCTCACTTGTTTGTTACTAGACTGTGAGATATCGTCGGAAGGAATCCCTGCCTCGACCAGCCAGTCTTTCACTGCTTTGACACCTCTTTCGGCGGGCTCGAAGAACTTAACAACCTCTTCTGCTGAGAGATGTTTGCCATAGTTCTTTGATTTGGGGTTCGATCTTTACAGCCTTGTTAGTTATTTCTTAAATGCATATTAGTGGGAAGAGCCGCCGCACATATCCATCAAGAAATCGTGACCCGATTGAAGATTCTGCTGCTTCAGGCCTATGCGCATAGGTAAAATAGCATCAGGTACTGCCCTTTCCACCTTTATCCAAGCCCTTTCTTGCACTGCGGTCCTTTTCTCATGTCGAATATGCGTTTTTGGTATACTCCGTCCCAATTTAGAAGAACCAACCCCAGACGACCGGTGGAAAGGGGGTGCAGCAAAGGCTTCCAGCACAGCGAAAGCCGCTAGAGTAATAATAGGATTAACCAACTTCATTCTGATGGCCACTTGAGGGATGATGGTGAAGGGCCGGCGAACGCGAGAACCACGCGAGCGTGCATGGCTCAAGATACTAGGTGCTCGTTTTATATTACGGACACTGTAGCGACCAGCTCCGCTCTTGCTGTAAGTATGGCGTGTGAACACAAAAAGGATCTCCATGCTGGCGACGGCCTTCGGCAATGTGAAGCCAAGGCTAAAATATATGACTGTCCACTTTCACTGGGTGCGGGTAAATGTACACCTACTGTGAGCCAATTAGCTCAACCTTACTTTCCATCATAATTAATTATCGTCGCTTGCCAGGAAGGGTTGAACAGGGGAGTAACATTGGAATGTCTAGAGATATATTGATCGCTGTATACACTAGGTTCTCCCATGAGCTCAGGTCAGAGGCCAATGACTTCTAAACACGGGAAGATAAGACGGGTGAAAATCAATTCCGCTAAAACCGTATTAGAAGTCGCTGTGTATCTTCTGGATCGGTGCCATTATGTGTAAAAATACCATTTTGGAGGTTTCGTACCAGGACAGCCGTTAATTGATAGCGTATCCCAGTAGGTACCCAGGAAGAAGAAACAGCATATAAAGGCGGACTTAGATACCGCAAGATGAAAACCGAACTCCTGGAATTGGGTTACTGAAGGCCAATAAACCTAGCCAGAAGTTGCCGGACCGTATCGTATATAGCCGGCATTTAAGACAGCTCTGCCAATATTGCGAAAGACTGCGGCGGTAGTAGCCCCTCTCGCCACTCGAGGTTAACCAGGCCAGCCATATAGCTCGCGGTCCTCCCAAACTCCGAGGACGAATACTATCATTCTCGGATCCTACCTAAAATTACATAACTTTAGGTAAGTATGGGCTAGACTTGCAGGGGCATGTAAATCCGCCCTGTGGCTCGAATGAACCTCCTGTGCCAACCCAGGTAACTATAGGATCCAGACTGCCTACAGTAGATTAATTGTGAGTGAGTACAGCAGGTGAGAAAAGGAACTAGCATGCCATCGTAAGGCTCTGATGGCAAGATTATGTCCTTTGGGATCTCATAACGATATAAGCCGGATTATAAACCGGACAGCTCCAGTTATCGGTAGCGAAAGATCCCAATATTCCTGGCGCGGTGAGTCTTCCTCCTTGCCGTACAGCTCGCCGCAAATACAAGCACTGTCGAGGTCCATCGTCCCCCGGATCTTTCAGAGAAGCACCTGCCATGACGTACTCCTCAGCTTCATGTCTCGGAGGCATAACTCTTTGAGGGTGCTCTTGTGCCTCCTGAGCAATGGACATCAGGTCGTGACGTTCGCACGTGGTGTTCCCTAAGGTCAGACTATCAAGATGTTCCCATCTATGCTTTAGCTCCATGATATCCTCGAGCCGTGCCGGGTATTCGTGTTTTTTCCGAATGCCAGTTGAAAACGATGTATAACAGTTTGTATCCGAGAGGTACCTAGGTAGGTACTTGCAACTCATACTAGGTATAAAGTCTATCTTCTATAGTGAGACTATACTGTTTCCTATTAACAGTGTACGCACATGAGTCTAGATCTATTAGTTGCTAGCATGCGTCTTGTCTAATTGGTTCCATTAGCCCTCATACAACTAGGCCGTCAACCCTCAAGATCTTTTTTATAATTGACTTCACTTTATTTAGTTTCTCATCCCATAAGCTCACAACCCTCTCTCACTACACCGACCACGGCACCTGTTTGGATAGTCTCGCTTCCTCCGACCGAAACTCTATACTCTATTTCCGCTAGACCATCGAGCCACCTAATCATAACTTCGGGCTTCACCTCCATCTGAACCAGTTGCTCCGATAGTGCTGTGATTATGTCCGCCAACGCGAGGCCATTAGCCACCTTGAGCGTATTAATTGTCGAGAGGCAAGTAGTTACGTCGCTAGTCGCAAGCAGCGTACTTGCAATCTTTGTAATCGCATCGGGAGGCGGGGCCGCTATACAATTGTAGATGGTTTCAGTTGTGACGGTGTCCCTGACGATATCTTTCTCGGGTACCTTGGGTCCATCTTTAGGTTGTATCGGCGTGCCTAATTTAAGTCAGTTTTGCGCAATAATTAAGATTTTAGAAGGAGATAGCAGAGGCTTACTGGATGCGTGACAAGCCTGAAGCACATTTAGTGCTCGTCGCATATCGCCTTTGCTCAACTTAACCAGAGAGTCTGTTGCCTCGGCTGTGATTTTAACACCCTCCTCTAGAATGACTTTATCCACCAAGACGCGAATATCGTCTTCTTTTAGAGGACTAAATCGAAAACGCGTACATCGAGACAGCAACGCGGGCGATAGTTTGTGGGTATAGTTCGCAATGATACAGAATCGCGTATTTGCCGTGTACTTCTCCATGATTCGTCGTAAAGCCATCTGGGCGGTGTTTGTCATCGCATCGGCTTCGTCCAGAATGATAAGCTTATAGCTCGCCATGCCGCCGGGGCGTGATGCACCGCCCATAGTAAAGATCTGCTTCGTTGAGGCAAAGGTCTTGATCTGCTCACGAACAACATCAATACCTCTGTCATCGGAGGCATTCAGCTCTAGAACCATCTGCCGTGTGTTCTCCGCCCCATATATACGTCTCGCAAGGGCTAGAATGGTAGATGTTTTGCCTGTTCCCGGAGGGCCGTAGAGGAGGAGATGGGGTAAGCGGTTCGAATCGACAAACTTGTTAATCGTCGCTAGGATATCTTTGTGGCCAGAAACGTCGGATAAAGAAACAGGTCGGTACTTTTCAACCCTTATTTTTGAATTAGCAACCAATCCGTTGAGAGGAGGAATAAGAGGCGTCGTGATAATCTTACCATGGTAAAGAATCTTCAGCTTCAACGGGTAGGTTGGCAGCACTACGCTTGCCCTTGGCCGTATTGTCAGAAGAAAATGTGATGTCATTAGATTTTGGAGGGGCATCGATGTCCATCTCATCTTCGAAGTCCGACATGTTGACTTTCTAGGCGTCGAGGACGATCTCGTATTTGCTTTTTATTTTGAATTTCGGCAAGGAAAAGCTTTCTAAGGTATAGTAACTTTCTTCAATGTAATATAGACTTCTCTTAAAGATATTGCTCCCTCTCTATGATAGAAATTCTTCCTGTTAATAGAGATAGGTAGTCTTCGGTGGAATTCTGTAGCTTGTGCGCTATAGTTTTAATGCTCTTGTTCAATTCGACACCAGAATTTCGGTTGAGAAGACGCGTAAATTGAATGTGCTTAACGCGTCTCTAGCTAGGTACCTCATAACAGGGATAAAGTGCCTTGTGCAATGTACTTGCGTACATAGGTACCTAGATACATAGGTACCGACGTACATGTACCGACAGTGGATCCTTCCCCAGCCTTGGATCCACTTCCCGTGCATGTATATACACAATCTATGGCTTGTGTACTGTGGCGGGTCTAGGCTTTGTTCCCCGAAGACGCAAAGAGCGTGAAGGTATAAAGTAGCCCTTTCTTTATTTTGACTGCAAAGCTGCTTTACTCTTTTCTTCTTCCCCTTGCGTAAATTCAGGACTACATTTTCCAGTGGAGCCTCAACATTACTACGGATCAGCAACTTTACTTAGGTACGTACTCGGGTTGTCATTCTGATGTACTTTTGGAGTTGAAGCACATAACGTCTCTAGGGAAAACCACCAAGAGTTCATTAGGATATTTACATATTGGGCGATTCTATCACAACGAGAAAATACCAGCCTACGTATCTAATTTTTAAAAAATGATATCATCATATATTTCTTCATAATACCATATCGCAGTATATCTAAATCTCATGTTCGCTATGTAAGTAAGAATCAAAAGAAAATACTGATACTAGTTAGTCCTCGCTGCTAATATCAACCCATCAATTCGTCAAGAATGCGCTGAACTCCAGGTTCGATAATCCATTTTGCCTTATTCCCATTTCTTTTCGGCCCTTATTTCTTATTCTCTTGCGCCTTACCACCACTACCGCCACCCTGGGAAGGGGGCACAAATGTGCTGGCTAGCAACCATTGTCCATCGACAGACGAAGATGATGAACGGGAAGATGACGCGGAGCCACTGTCCGAGTCGCTATCTGTTGTTGACTCTTCCTGGTCATCACTTCTGTCCGCATCAGTAGGTTTCTGCGCATTTGATTCACTGCTGTGCCTAGGATGTTCTTGCTCGGATTGCCTTGATTCGTCTCGTGTGCTCATAATGTAGTCGAGGAGGTCAAGGGGCATCATATTTTGATCCTCAGCCAGAGCAATGCTTAACGCTTCCGAATCAAACTCTTCAGCCCCAGAACTCGAGGATTTTCCCTTGCCTGGTCCTTCTAGCTCAGCATCCTTCGGCTTTCGGATTTCCCGTTCGAGGTTGGTATTTGTACTTGTATTTGCCTCCTCGGTCCACCATACCTTGCCCTCTTTTCGTTCGGGTTCATCCGAAGGGAAGAAAGTTTTACTAAGCGGGCTTTTAGGACTCGTGGGGCTTTTCTGTTTATTTCCTTTATCCTCGTCTTCCAGTATTACCCTTGCTTCGTTCAGAGGTAAGTCGTCATCAGGGTTTATCGGCACGCTTGCCACGATTGGTGAGGATTGCGGCTCCTCTGGAAGCGCATCGAGTAACCTCCTCTTAAACGCTTCCGTGCGCATCCTATACCTGACGTGATGACACTCGGATGGATAGTTGCAGTCAGTCATGCAATTGTGCGTCTCCTTCAGAAAGTCCTGCTCGTGGTGCTTCTCCATACCAAGAACCTTCCGGCGCCATGCCCCCCATTCTGCCCATCCGTTGTAGTCGAATTCAGAAACGCACATCGCACTGCGGCGACGTTTCTTTCCTCTACTTGTTTTCGGTGGGGTTGCTGAGAGACAGTAGTCGTGAGAGCAGACGAGGCAGCGGCGTGTGCAGCCGAGCCGGTAGACAGTGTCACACGAGTGGCATTGCCACAACCATGGGAATGGTTGTCGAGGAGGCGGTGGTGGTGTAGGTACACCATCTGGCGTTGAGGGCAAGATGTGTCGAAGGTGTAGGCGAGCAGGTGGTGTTAAGGGATTGGGAGTGGTTCGAGTATCCGGTGAGGGCGAGGAAGTAGGAGCTGAAGGCGTAGGCGTAGTACTGCTTGACTTCCGCGAGAATATGGAAAGCGTCGGCAACTTCCTACGTGAAGGCATTTTTTTTTTGGCTTGAGCTATTTCTATTTCTAACACTCGGCCAGCTGGTTGGATGATTATTATGTGAGACAAGCTGTTTGCTTGCAAAAAATACTAACGACCAAAAAAAGGCGTGACTAGCAATACCCAGTGTGTGGTTTCTGACTCCACTAAATATGTTTATGAGGATTGGTCTAATCACACAGTACCTCTAGGGTCTGTGATAAGAAAAGTATTAAAATAAGGAGAGTAATTGGTTTCAATATTATATGAGATTAGGGGGTCTCTATAAGGAGCGTAGGAAAAGGAAAGATTGATTTAAGAGAAAGCAACACAGCTAAAAAAGAAAGTAGAGAGAGGAAAAAACGATAAGGAAATTGTGTCAGTAAATGATTTGTTGGAACCTGATCCTATATACGGTCAGGTATTCTACATACATCATCCTATCCCAAGGTGATAGACACTTATACAGGATGGTGTTACTTTGTTTGGGCGACAGCAACAAAGGGTCAAGATTGATATATGCCTCGACTCGCTCGCCCGAGCGCTGATTCGTTGACCTAAGCGAGGGACATATACATCCTATATATTATCTTGCAATCTTTGTGGGATATACACTTTCATTCACGCCTCATGCCAGTGGATACGCGTGATGGTGACAAGGTGATGACTCGGTGCTTTACTCGTCGGCTAATGACAAAGGGGTCAGTAACAGATGGACAAGACACATCTATTGGTTGTTGATAGTATAGCAATAGCACTCGTGCGACAAAGCGGAGGAAGAGTAGGAGAAAGGTGGAAAGGATGGCAGTGCTGTTGAGCATTATTTATGAGACAAAGCTATTTCGGATGCTAGATGTATGGAAAGAAACGACACGTGGATAACCACGTTTATAATACCCATAGTCCAAGTAAAGGGGCCTACATATAATACCAGCTTCTAAACTTCGTTTCCGAATTGCCATGGAATCTGGAGGTCATGAACACTCCGCGCTATATGTATCAGTCTAACCGTCTACCGCAATCTGAATTGTATTATACCTGCATTACGTACTGAGTTAAAGGTACCTAACCTAATATATGTAGGTCAGAAAAGACTAAGTACTAAGGTTAGTATTCATTCTGAGCTTTGAAGATGTAACAACCGGGGTGACATAAAGAGTTATCTAGAAGATAATTCTAAGCTAATAGCACGGATAAGGTGCTTGCCTGTCTTTCAAGGGTGAACGAGTACATTTTGGTTCGGCGAATAATTCGTAAGGGGTATAAATGCCTAGTATCCCGGCCATATTATATGGATTTTGTCGTGGTTAATTCTCTGCTGAGCGTCAGCGTAGTGGAGTCCATGTTGACACCCACGTTCAACAACTAACATTGATATCAAAGAGACTTTTAGAGTGGGGAACAAAGACACTGATAGTATGGCAGCCTAGCGCCACTATGTTGAAAACTCCGGGGCCAGAAGAGGCTCCGACAAGCAAGGAAGTTGAAGTTGTATGTATGTATATATACCATATATATTTGTATTTCTCTTCTCCGCTATGGTATACTGAACATTTAAAATTATGTCTTACCTCAACCCAGCGCATCGAGTGTAATATGCCAACTCCTATGCCTGAGCCATTATCCCCCCCAGGTAGATATATTGAAATAAGCCACAACAACGTGAAGACATCCTCGAATAGAGGAAACCATGTCGAAAGATTCGGGTACTTAAGGCGCTCGTAAGCACTCCCTAGTAGAAGCTCGAGCCGTGTTACCGGCCATCCAACGGTCCAACGTAATCTGATCCACTCAAAGGGAATTTAAATCCGACACACAAACGCCGGCTTGAAATAGCAGCGCTGCAAGTGGAAAATGCAAGAGACGTATAAGGAAAAAAAGGGGGACATGGCAAATTATGGACCAGCCACCTCACCAGAAATTTCCAGCAAAACGCCCCATGACTCCTACGATCTCGTCATTTAGCGTTTAAACTTAAACAGATGAGGCTGCAATGCCACCATTGTCCCGTGGGCCTCCCGCACTTCGGACGTTAGGCCTGGCTCGAGCTCATTTTGTTCGGCGAGCTCAAGCAGCTTCTCCGCCCAGGATTTCCACTTTTCGAGCCACCTCTGTTGCTCTTCGGTCTTTCCTCTTCCGATCTTGGCCCGACATATCTTGGTGCCTGCGATCATGATATATTGCACTGCCACCCTTATCAAGCAGTTGCGCTTGATGCCCGGGGGATGCTCCTCTTCGAGAGCCTTTGAGATATCCATACAAGGGATTATAGTACTATCTTCGAAGTGGTCGGCGAACCCGGCTTCAATGCAGCGGGCAGCGAAAGCAGAAACATTAACCCATGCTAACCACCTCCTCTCAACCTCCTCGGGGTCACCATCGTCCGTTGCTATAAATCATGTTAGCGTGATGAGGTTCCTAGCTGTTGGCGGAGAGCTGTTGAATCCATACGATTGTTTACTACCCATTTCTCCTTCATCGTCAATTCGAGTACAGGTTCCTCCTCGTAAATTTGGCAAATTTTCTGCGTCGCTAGTGTAAGTCAAATGAACAAAGCTTTATAGTAGAGGGGATTCGCGTACCCCTCCCACCTTGATCTCCTTGGGCGGTAGATTCCGAAGCTCGTAGAGTAAGTCAATAACGGTATATTGTAAGCCGTGGTGGTAGGGGATTAAGAACATCAAGTCGACCACAACCCCGTAAAGTCCGGAAAGGAAGGCGACCATGCCTTTGTCGTCTTCATCTTTCAGGTCGGGGTGGGCCGGTAGATATGTATCATGATAGTAGGAATCTAGCTGTAGAGCCGCGTCGGATGGCAAACATCCCCTCGCTGAGAAAAGAGAGCGTCTGAAGATTTTGGCCATTGCATGTCTGGGGGTTTGCGGATCGCCGTTAGCGATCTCGTTGTCCAAGAACTCAATCCAGGGTTGATTCGAGCGGCTCGGGCGGACATTTCGAATTGACCCCATTGTGCTGGGGGGAACAAGGAAAGTTCGCAGTCCTTCTCTCTTTTCTCTTTCTTTTTTTTAACAATGAGGTTACCTATAGGAGATAGGTACTCAGTATAGCAACACGGTCTTTATGTTACACGAGTTGCCCTCGAAATAGTAGCGAAGTGGGGAGATAAGTAAATATAATTTTTGCTTTTCAAAGTTTCCGATCATAAATAACGAAACATATACCGGGAAGTATAGCTCGCTATCAGCACAGGCTTGAATTATACCTCTTTATTCCTTGTTCTTTCTTCTCCACTCTCCCCCACTTTGTCAGATTGTCATTTTTTGAAAAGAGGAAGTTGGGGACTAAGTCAGGGATTAAAGAGGGTTTAAAGTCTGAGCTCTGAGGTTCTCCAAAAAGACAAGGAAAAAAAATACCACAAGGCTTAATAAATATCAGTGGGACAAATCTTTGGATCGCTGGGAAGTAAATGGTTCAAAGGGTTTTTTTTTTTTTTTTTTTTTTCTTTAATAAGTTACATTCCATATAGACCAGATGCAACTACCTACTCGACTGATAGATCACGAATTACCCACATAATGCCGGATGACCCCATAATTCTTTTTTTTTCTTTGATGTAACAATTTACCACTATGTAACCTAGAGTATCCGAGGCCTGGGTTGGCGGACCCTCTTAGTGCTGGCACCAACTACTAGGGCTACCAGCTTGCCAGGGACTGTCAAAGGTGCAGACTACCTAGTAGGACTACCTAGTAGTTAGGTAGTCTTGCGTTAGCGCATCTGCGCATTTCAGACAGGATCAATTGTTCAATTAGAATAAGATTTTTAGAGTTTTTTTTTTTTAGAGCAAAGAGGGCAGGACGGAAGGACTGCGGAAAGAGCTTCGGCCGGTTATGTTAATTACCAGGTAAGCAACCAAGGTAAAGCAAAACCAGGTTTCTTGACGCATGATCTTCTTACCTTCTCACCGAAAAAACCAAAAAAAAATATTTGGATTAATTTTTTTTTCTTTTACAGCAAAAGGAGTCAAAAATAAAAATAAGCTTATTTTACTTACCATTTTCATTTCCCATATTAAGTGTCACTTATAGACCAACAACAACAACTAAGTAAATGCATGCAACCTTAAAGCTGTACTATGGTAAGCAATTCCATTCGTCCATTCGCTTAGCTATAACCTTACAATACTACTTCCGATTAATTTACTAGTTACAAGCCCAAAGCAAAGCGCACTTGGGTACGCACTACTCTACTTTGGACTACTTCCATGCCCAGATAGGTATCTTGACTGACCGCCACCACCGGGTGCCGATCGTCTAACCACCTAGGTAGTAGTAGACACCTGAACTAACACCGCACCTAGCTGGATACGCACCTAATCCCGGACGCGACAGGCACCCGCACACCATAGACAAGGGTATATTGAAAAAGTTGCAACAAGACATCGTCATTTCCCTTGCTCGGAAGCTCTCGGTTACGTACGCTTGGATGTTGATCGTTAGTTATCTCCAAGCAGCTTGGCGGGTGGGCTGAGACGACAACGAGAAAACAGATCTTTCTAACTGGTAACCACACTTGAATTTTAAGCGAGACAGACAAGGTAAGTAAAAAGAAGAAAAGACAAAAAGAACAATTGGTAGTAACGAGGTAACTAATGAGAAAGCAGTACAATACAATATAAGAATGCCCAAGACTATTAGGCTCTTATGAACCACCTGCCACGTGTCTTGATATTTACTATGTTGTCTTCTTTATTACCACAATCTAGCAAAGAATTCATTATATTGCATCATCCGTGTCTCTAGGTAAACCCTAGGTAAACCCTAGGTACCTAACCTATATAACAATGCATTATGATTCTTCAGCAACTCAAAATTGCATACCCACCCACTCCATCGTCAACGTCAGTAATCCGCGAGAAATAGTCGTTTGTCATTGGTTTCCAAACGTGTGGACAGTCGTCGAATCTAACCGTGGTAATGGATCAGCTAAAATCTCACAAAATTCATTCTAGAAGCTCGAGTTTCAAAAGTTTCCAGTGCCGATCGGCTGCAGCCGGTTCCTAAACCCCATATAATACGTGGTTCATAATTTCTACATCGCACTAACCACTAACCTGACCAGCCTAGTGAGAGCCTCTAAGCTCTAAAAGGATGACGCGGTGGATTAGGGTATCTAAGATCAAACCCATCCACAAGGATATCCCAAGAAATATAGTTTCGAGAACTTTTTTACCCGCTTCGAAATGACTTATCATATTTACGTTAAGGTCGTTACTCGATCTTATCCGTAGGTAGGTATATCGTTTGCATACTATGATACCAGCCAAATGGTTCTCTCTATGCGGGAGAAAAAAGGTAACTATACCTACCTACCTAAGTACCGCATTAAAATTAAGGCTGCCTGGCTTTCTTTAATTATGATCTAGCTTCGTCGATCTCACAGATCTCGGTGATTACAAAAAAAATAAAAATAAAAAATCCCAGTTTGATATTGTACTGTCCGGCTACAAATATCGCGTGAGGGCGACACATATGATGGCCCTTGGAACGAGCAATCGTACGATTCCTGGAGCCACGCGCCGCCTATCATTCCAAACTGAAGAAAGTGCATCAAAAGAACCAAGAGGTCATACGTGGTCTGAGAAATACCTACTATGTACTCCATCGATCACGACTTATCATCAGTGTTTCGACCAAGCAGTGCTAAAAACACCCCGGTATGTATGTAGCGGCGCAAAACCCCGGAAAGGGGACCTCGTGACTACATAGTATGAAAATCTATATCCTAGTATGTGCGCATAGACCTCCCCAAGCAGCGGTCAACAAAGGAAATTTCCGAGACTGTGGGGGGCGCGCGGTTTATGAAGAAACTGGCTGAAGAAAGTGAAAATATTGCGAGCCAGGGTTAAGGCAACCTACGTAATGAGGCAGATCATTATATGATCAAAGCACTTTAACTAGTAAGTAGTCGCCTACTACGCCGCAACGATAGTCTCGATAGATACCCGACATGATGCATGATGATAAGAGAGAAGAAGCTAGCCATCTGAAATGGAGAACAAATCGAACAGAGGAATACACCTATCTACTGGTACTAGCTCGAATCATGACTACCTAGGTACATAATGCCGCATCCGAGCAACTATATAACCTCAAACTCATGTTCGTAAATAGCGATAAGTTGTCATTATAAAATTCCGACTACTAGGTTGCTGAGCCGCGAGAATATACAGAACCGGCCAGCTTGAAGGTTCATGAACCCTTTACCCTAATTTGATTCTCAGACTTTCGTTACAGGAAATATGTCCCCTACCTAGGTAGGTAGTTAACTGCTCACTATATTTTACATCATGGGAGGAGAACTTTTAGTATCTACGAGCGGGTATTTCACTTTCCGGTTCAAGCGTCGAGCAAGATCCTGTTTTTTTTTTGCCGTGACTTGGGTAATTCACAAATCACTAGACTAACCTACCTAACCTCAACTGACCTGACTAGCCGAGGCTCTCGGGATAAAGAGACCTCAACTATAGTATTTTTATGGAATAGCCCCCCCATGCTTCATTCCGCAGCGGGGTGGTTATCTGTTTTACAAAGTCTAGACGAACAAAGCCGAGGAGTGCGCTAATGCGATGATAGGCATATTCCGTAACTACCTAACCTAACCTAGATTATATAGCTCAACTAGAGTTACTATAGTATCACATTATCGATCACGACATCACGACATTGGGACAGACCACCTGAAAATACACTACGTTCCTAAAGGCTAAAGATACCTAACCTATAACGTAAGAGCAGGTCGAGAAATAGAAGACAACAATGAACATTATCATCATCATCACGGGAAACGCAAAGCTCGGGGAGCTTTTTAGCATCAAAGATGCGAGTGCGAGGCAAGAGATCTAGGTAACTACATAGCATGCGTTGCAAAGATAAAGATGAGGCTTAAGTCATGGTTACCTACCTAGGTAGGTACCTAGGTAATAATAGCGGGCTTATCAAGAGAGAAAGAGCAAGAAAGACCAGTTCGATTTCTTGATTACAAACATGCCCCAAGGTTTAATATGACATAGTATGTACTAGATCTTACTGGCTGTCCTGTGATGCTGCGCTGGACAGAAAGGACTCGACATTGGCGAGCGCCAGTCTCCGCCTATTGGCGGGAATGAATGCAGTCATCTGCCACGACAGCATGGCCGTGAAGTCGAAGGGCCTACGGGCGGCCTTTCTCATAACCATCTACCCAGGTAGGTTTCTATAAATAAACAACAAAAGTCCGTTTTGACGGCCTAGTTTTCTCTGCATAGTTCCCATGACTCCCAAGGTGGAAGTAGGGGGCGGCGGCTATAATAAAAGCACCTATCTCTGCAAATCTACCTAGGTAGGCATATAGCAAGAGGCATTCCATATGCCGCCATTCATTCCGCGAAGTGTCTGTGTCGCGTGGCAGAGCATTTAGTGAGGAAAACAACGGAGTTGTTCCGCAAGGAACTTGACAGATACACCGCTGAGCCAAAAAGTGTATTTGTTAATAGCACAGTTGCTATTACAGTCTATCTGACCATGGGTGGTATTACCACTCATAGAACTCTTATTGAGATAGCTTTGAAGCCAAAGCTACCTAGGTATATACAACATGTTCTTCGTTCTAAACGAGCCTCAAGTGAGACTCCTGGCAGTTCATTTGCATGTTCCTTCGTCACGCCACAACAACGAGAACACCAGACTCACGAACTTCGTTACCTTGTCCGTTAGGTAAACAGCTAATTCTTAAAATATTCACCAATGACCTTGATAGTTACCGACTGTGGTTATACAATAACATCACTTATTCCATTTAGGTAGGTACCTCCTATGTATGTTACGAAGTTGTACGCGGGTTCGGAGCATAGTTACCTCATATCAAACCGCTACACCACCAAAAGGGAGAACGATGTCAACTCGAGGGATTGACGTTGCTACCTTCATCTATAAGGACCTCCCACGAACAATAACGTGAAAGAAGAATTAGGATGTCATTCACGTTCAAATTTGAATCAACCCTGGAAAGCATTTCCCGATCACCACGCAGGGCAAACAACATGAGCTAAGTACAGATATAGACTTACACCTAATCTTCCAAAAAAATAAAAATAAAAATAAAAATAAAAATATGGCGGAGTAAGATATTCACCATGTGAGTTCACCATAATACACATCACTTTATATATCCAGCTACTAACAATCTCGTACCAAATCGAAGCAATATAATATTATTTGCTGCTTCTGGCAAGACCTCACAAGGTTAGCACAGCAGCCGGTATTCTTAACCCATCCCTTACGAATGAATCATCAAAGCTAGCTTGTCCAGCTACGCGCCTTGCCAGCATTACCTGATCAGCGCTTTCGGCCCGCTTCGGATCTCCTGTGAGATATCATAACAAGCAGCCAGACCCACAGCCGAAGAAATTCAGCGCAGTCATAATTCCGTAATTATGTCGTCCTAATCAACCGCCTCAAGG